ATCGAAGAGGTTACTGCCTATGTTCTCCTCTAGGATTCTGATGGATTCCTGTCTCACGTTGAGGTCTTTTATCCATTTCGAGTTTATCTTTGTGTACGGTGTAAGAGAATGGTCGAGTTTCATTCTTCTACATATAGCTGCCCAGTTTTCCCAGCACCATTTATTGAAGAGACTGTCTTTTTTCCACTGTATATTTTTTCCTGTTTTGTCGAAGATTATTTGGCCATAGAGTTGAGGGTCCATATCTGGGCTCTCTACTCTGTTCCACTGGTCTATGTGTCTGCTTTTATGCCAGTACCATGCTGTCTTGGTGATCACAGCTTTGTAGGAAAGCTTGAAATCAAGTAACGTGATGCCCCCAGTTTTATTTTTGTTTTTCAACATTTCCTTAGCGATTCAGGGTCTCTTCTGGTTCCATACAAATTAGGATTATTTGCTCCAGCTCTTTGAAGAATACTGGTGGAATTTTTATTGGAATGGCATTAAAAGTATAGATTGCTCTAGGCAGTATAGACATTTTAACAATGTTTATTCTTCCGATCCAAGAGCATGGAATGGTCTTCCATCTTTTTGTGTCTTCTTCAATTTCTTTCATGAGTGTTCTGTAGTTCCTCGAGTACAGATCCTTTACATCTTTGGTTAGGTTTATTCCCAGGTATCTTATGGCTCTTGGTGCTATAGTAAATGGAATCGATTCTCTAATTTCCCTTTCTGTATTTTCATTGTTAGTGTATAAGAAAGCCACTGATTTCTGTACATTGACTTTGTATCCTGCCACGTTACTGAATTGCTGTATGAGTTCTAGTAGTTTGGGGGTGGAGTCTTTTGGGTTTTCCATATAAAGAATCATGTCATCTGCAAAGAGAGAGAGTTTGACTTCTTCATTGCCAATTTGGATACCTTTTATTTCTCTTTGTTGTCTGATTGCTGTTGCTAGGACTTCTAATACTATGTTGAACAAGAGTGGTGAGAGTGGGCATCCTTGTCATGTTCCTGATCTCAACCGGAAGGCTGCAAGCTTTTTCCCATTGAGGATGATATTTGCTGTGGGTTTTTCATAGATAGATTTGATGAAGTTCAGGAATGTTCCCTCTATCCCTATACTTTGAAGCGTATACACTATGGAGTATTATGCCTCCATCAGAAAGGATGAATACCCAACTTTTGTAGCAACATGGACAGGACTGGAAGAGATAATGCTTAGTGAAATAAGTCAAGCAGAGAGAGTCAATTATCATATGGTTTCACTTATTTGTGGAACATAACAAATAGCATGGAGGACATAGGGAGTTAGGAGAAGGGAGTTGGGGGAAATTGGAAGGGGAGGTGAACAATGAGAGACTATGGACTCTGAAAAACAATCTGATGGGTTTGAAGAGGTGGGGGGGGTGGGAGGTTGGGGGAACCAGGTGGTGGGTATTAGAGAGGGCACGGATTGCATGGAGCACTGGGTGTGGTACAAAAACAATGAATACTGTTATGTTGAAAATAAATTTTTAAAATGATTTAAAAAAAAAAAAGAATGGCACTGTGATCCATTTGCTCATTAGTCCCACAGGGAGCTCTGGAATGGTGCTATAGGGTTGTGCTAAGTTGAGGTGAGAGAGCCTGGTTGTTGTATCCAATATCATTCATAGAGGGGATCAGATGTGAGTAACCAGCAGCCAACCCTGCCGGCAGCTGAGCAAATAACTGCCTCTATCCTGTGGTACACCGCGACAGCCACTACCTTTTACCCCTGGTGCCACCTGAACCTACTGGTTTTGTACGCTGAGTTCACCCCTGGGAAAAGCTCTTCCAGAATTTTGTTTGGTCTGTCTCCTGGAAAAGTTTTTAAAGAGGTAGGTTAGCAGGATGAAGTAGCTCCTGTGACGAAAGCTGCCTTCAATTTGCAACTTATCTCCCTCCTGGACTACCCATTCTAGATTTCTCTCCTCCTTAACCAATATCTCTTCTGATCTAGGTGGCTTATGAATTATCACAACCTAAATTCTTATCTCTCAAGTTGTCTGAGTCCCTGGTCCACTTCTCCTTCTCAGATCATGGCTGCTGCTCTTATCCATCAACTTTCAAAAGTGGGAAGGGGTATATCATTGGATGGCCTAAGTGCCCAGTGTTTTCCTCCCTGGCTTATCATGTAACAGTGAAGGAGGCGTATCTCTTCCTGGGATATAGTTACTTACCCCTGCCTGCCAGTATGGCAACACCTTTCCGCACATACTGAACTCCTGAAATAAGGAGCCTGGGTTCCCCCTGGGAACTAAGACTAGGAACTATGATCCACAGAGCCTTAAATTCATGGGTGAGAAGTATTCATTTTCTAAGTGAGTCAAAGGGAGTAATGCTAAGCTAAACCACTTCTATTGTGTTTTCAGACTTGTGTATACTTACTGGGGACACAACACCCTCTAATGGATGTTGACTAGAGTATGCGTTACAGCCTGGAAGATGGCAGTGCATCCTTATAAGACTCTCCCCTTTTTTAAGTGGAGGAAGGATGCTGTTGACCATTTTAGGAAACAGAATTCTTTATTTCACTGATACCCTCCTTAATGGTGGGTCAAAATTTTGCATTTAAGATTCTACTATTATATCATTTATTTAAGTCTTCGAATATGGTATTCTATTTGATCTTTCTGAGTTTTCCTTAAAGTGAATTTTCTTAAAGAATCTATCAGAATGCACATACAGTTCTCTTATGCTACATTTAAGAATTATAAAGAAGCATTTTTCTCACATCCATATTTCCAACTACTTCCTCCATATTGATTAGAATTAAGTCCAAAATAGTAATTCACCTCATTGCTGCTTCTGCCATTTGAAGGAAAATATTTTTAGCAAGCAAAGACTGTACCAGATATTCAGCTTTTAGAAAAGGCTCTTTCATGGTAGCCGAATAATAGAAGACTCTCACTACTATAACTTGCTTCTGTGCCATGTCTTTATGAAATAAACCATCATTCGTATGTTACTTCAGGCTAATGGTTAATACCATGCTCCTAACTTAATCTTTGTCTTTCTCGTCTTCTTTATCCTAAATGTTCTCCCCTATGCCTCTTGTCTTGGGTTGATCTTTGAAAATATAAGCATATATTTTAATATGCATTGTTTTGGGGTTTTCCCCTTGTATTAAATTTATTCATGTTCTATACTTACATTTACCAATTCCAGACACAAAAATTTCAGTGTTATTTCTGAGATTGTATTTACCATTCCACATGAAGTCTTATTCTTTTCATTAATACTATGTATATACTGATAATGGAAGTATATTTTTATCTTTTCCCTTAAATTTCCGGATTCTACCCCAAGCCTCCTCTTCCAGTATACTTTTGTTGTCACACTTGCTGTCGTCCTTAACAGCTCATTTTACAGGGTGTTTTGCAGAGCTTTTTGGCCTCAATTTCTATTCAAGCTCTATTAATCATGCTGTCAATTAAAAAACTAAAGAGGTATTTCTGACATTCCTGGAATGTGTGTCTCTTTTCCTAGCTATTTGATATTTGTGACTATGAATCTTATTTTCTAATACCATCTGTGTAGCCAATTTGTTCATTTTTCATATCCTCTTATTTTCCTAATAGTGATGACTTTCAACTGAAGTAGGGAAAGAAAATATAATTTATGCTTCCAGTGCTTTTTATGTCCAGCCCAGGACTATAAGGTCACTAGAAATGTAAGAGATTTCTTGTCTCACTCAATCTCAATAAATCGACTTCTGTGGGCCAGAATTCACAGGTCTGTTGAGATTTGTCAAGCATTTGGTTAGAACACTGAAGATACGGAAACAAGCACGAGTAGTTCTCAAGATTTGTGAACAAGATCAGAATGATCACCATCTGAATAAGAGATCAATTAAAATCTACAAATAAGATTAACCCTCTCTTCCTTCACACAACCTAAAAGATGATTTAAACTTTTTATTTGGCAAGACTAGATGCTTGTCTTGATGGAAATACCCACCAAGGCTTCCATTTTTCCTTAAGAAAAAAAAAAATGTAACTAAAATGAGACACACTCATGTTTATTTAAAATGTCATCATAACTAAAGAACAGTGATTTATATGCAATCTGAAACACGGATAACTTATACTTCCAGTGTCAAGAGTTTGTCAGGTTTTTTTGGTTCTATCAACGTCCGGGAGAAAGGATATTCATGTTTCATGCAGGTTAATAAAATGAACAAACATTTGGCTACCAAATTTAATAAAAATATATCTTGAAAATCTAACATGCTCCCCAACACTCTTCTTTCTCAGTTAATTGAGGAATAATTGATATACAATAAACTGTACTTATTTAAAGTATTCATTTTGATGAGTTTGACTCATATGTACACCCATGAAGACATCACTATAATCAAGATGGTGAACATATCCATCACTGCAAAAGTTTCCTTGTGTTCTTTTATAATCCTTCCCTGCCACCCATGCCTGTACCCCCTGTCCCCCACCCCAGGTAATCATTGATCCGCATCTGCACTATACATTAGTTTCCATTTTCTGGCATTTTATATAAATGGGATCATAATGTTTTTATTTTTCATCTGGCTTCTTTCACTTAGTATAATTTTCCTTATATTCACCCATGTGGCTATAGCAGTACTTCATTTCTTTTTACTACTGAATGATATTCCATCCTGTGGATGTATCTCGGTTTATCCAAAACTTTGATTTATAATGGAGCCTTCTTCAATGAACTTGTGCCTTCCTCTAATATAGATGTCATGAAATCTCTTGTCAGTGGTAAAACTGATCAAGTTTCATTTCTGAGGCCACAAAGCTAGGGCAGACTTGGTATGGAAGGAGTCCTCCACTGAAGGTGGGAAGGAAATTCCCTGTGAGGTCAGTGTCCTCAACCTCCAAACACCATCTTCCAATCACAACATGTAATTGAGAATTTGTCTTTTGTTGTAAAATAATGTCTACGTGCAGAGCATCCTGATGAAGAATGATTAAAGGAAAGGTCCATTTCTCTTCTTCCCCACCTTGCCTTTTCAGACCCCTAAGGGGACCTGTGCAAAGTCAGTGAAGATTGCCATCGACGTAGGGTACCGGCACATTGATGGGGCCTACATCTACCAGAATGAGCACGAAGTGGGGGAGGCCATCAGGGAGAAGATAAAAGAAGGAAAGGTGCGGAGAGAGGATATTTTCTACTGTGGAAAGGTAAGATCTTCCCTTCACCCTCCAATTCCTTATATTAATAATGGGTCTTGTATCACTTTTCTCTGTTAAAGAATGTTGGGCTCACCAAGAATAGTGAGTTCTCAACTCCCAAATTCCTCATTTGTGCCTAGAATTCAGGGACTGATTAATTAGCTTGTTGAAGGTTAGGGCAAAACTCCTTCTTCATACATGGGCATTGATTTAAAACAATATGGGAAGATCCAGATCTACAAAGCGGAAGAACTGGGGAGTAGAGGCAGTGGGGGTGGTGGTGGTTCATATAACATAAGCATTTGCCAAAGCTTTCTTTAAAAGGGCAGCCTTTTTTTTTTTTTTTCTATGCCTATTTGTCCATAGATCACTGGGTTTTGTTTTTGTTTTTGTTTTTGTTTTTTTATTGAGCTACAATTCACATACCATAAAGTTCACCAGTTTAATCAGTGGCTTTTCATGTACTCACAAAGTTGCATAACCATCACTACTACCTAATTCCAGAATGTTTTCATCATTCCAAAAAATAGCCCCATACCCACCAGTAGTCACTCCCCATTTTTCCTTCTCCCCCTCTAATCACTGGCAACCACTGATCTGCTTTCCGTCTTTATAGTTTTCCTATTTTGGACAACTCATACAAATCAAACATATGATATGTGGCCTTTTGCATCTAGCTTCTTTCACTTAGTGTAACATTTTCTAGGTTCATTCATGTTATAGCATGTATGAGAATTTCATTTCTTTTTTATGGTCAAATAATACTCTATTGTGTGGATATATGACATTTAGTTTATATCATTACTTTTGAGCCTTTGAAATTTCCAATGTTAGAAATCACTATCCACTGAAGAGCAATCAGAAAGATAAAGCATCAAGATAAAGCCTGTGGAAATACAGGTTGCATATTTCCAGGCAGCTTTGCAGAAATTAAGCTGTACAACTTTGGAGAACATGTAATACAACTCTCCTGAGTGTTCTAAAAGAGAACAAGATATTGCTTCTGACTTCATCCACTCCCCAGACAACCCCTCCTCCTAGCTTCCTACTCAGGCTCATTGCCAAGCTCCCTAGGAGTTTGTGGTGCCCCAAGTCTCCAGCCACTTACAGATTATCATTCCAAGGGGCCACATACAGCCACTGTCCCAAAATATCAGCCTGAAGCTTTTTAGTTTATCATAGCTTTACAATTTTGATTCCTTAAGATTTTATTATTCAGTCTCTCCTTAGAGTAAATACCAAAGATTAACCTGGTGCTCCCAAATTTTCCTGATGAAAAATTTCTTGAACTCAGATCCTGAGAACTTAGACCAAAGAAGCCTGCCCAAAGCGAGGAATATTTTTGAAGATTTATGTCTTATTCAAAAATTTTTTCAGACTTTTACATCCCCCCCATGATATATTCTTATTTGTTTCATTTTGTTTCAGTGTAAAAATTAGGTTTTTAAGTTACCACTGAGAAAAATAAACCAAAAAACTTTTCTTATCTCCCCTGGTAAACAGTTAATGTTGTTGCAATATCTATCATATTAGAAAAATTGAACCAAATTATGTCATCTATTTCATAAAGTTGCTATGAGTTAACATTTATAAAGCACTTAAACATAGTACCTGGCACAGAGCTAGGACTATATGTGTTTGTTGAATAAAAATAACATGTATAAGAAAGAGTTTTCAGCTCGATGCGATGGCAGCAATAACACGCCAAATGGGCCCACAGTAATGACAAAAACACATTTTTCCACTACTCCTTCTACATTGTTTTTGCTTCTTTATGCATTTAAGGCAAGAAAAAAATTATTGTCCAACATAGAGAAAAATAAAATTTTACCAATTTTGCTTGCCCTTACTTGTGACAAAAAGGGTACAGAAATTTAATTTTTTCCCCAAAAAACACTTTCAACAAATTTGATGCTCCAAGAAAATGTATAAACTTATCCCAAGGTTCTGAGGCTCCCTCAGTGCCCTATGTTTTATAGACCCTGAGGGGATACACTCTCCAGTTTGACAATCTAAGCCTTAATCTTTCATTATCTAATACTTTAGAGACTGAGTAATTTCCTTTTCTTTCTTTCTTTCTTTCTTTTGTTAAGCTAAGTTTCTTTTATTTTTTCCAGCTTCATTGAGGTATAATTGACATATAACATTTTGTAAACTTAAGGGGTATACCATGTTGATCTGATACACTTCTGTATTTCACAAAATGATTACCACCATTGTGTTAGCTAACTCCTCCATCATATCACATAATTACCATTTCCTTTTTGAGGTGAGGACACTTAAGATCTATTCTCTTAGCACCTTTCAAATATATAATATAATAGTGTTAACTATAATCACTATGCTTTATATTAGATTTTATTTTATATTTATATATCTCATATATAAATTAGAAAGTGTTTAATATAATTAATTGAATTATACAAAATACATATATAAAATATGTTTATTATATAAAACTAAATTAATAATATTTATTTAGTTAGTTAGTTATATTGGATCCCTAAAATTTGTTTGCCTTGTCATTGAAAGTTTGTATGGTTTGATCAACATCTCCCCATTTTCATCTGTGAATAGCTGTCAAATTATTGACCTTTATTGGAGAGGCCAAGGCTGGGTCCTCCACACCACTATTTTGGTGATATTATTAGTTTAGCCAGAGAGCCAGTAATTTCATAGTATGAATTGTCAGAATTTCCCTGGGGTGTGAGTAGGACCAAATGAGAACAAAGGAGCAGAAAAAGGATACCTAAACATTTGCAATAACTTAAAGTTTCACCAGCTTCTGCACCACCTGTCCCAAGGTGAAGGATCCGGTGAAGTCACTCACACAACCATATTTCTTGTTCCACTAAAGCACATCTTTTATCACAGTGTCATGAAAATAAAGTGCTAAGCCCAGCCCTCTAGTGAGATCCATGTTCCCTAGCTACACAATGAGGAAAAGCAAAAGTATTGAAGGCCAATTCAGAAGTTAGCAGAGAGCAGGGCAAGACTTTGTCCCTGAACTAGGTACTCTGTGCTTCAGGTGGATTTTCAAGTCTCTGGTACTGTGTTTGGATAAAGTATATTCCAGGGGTCAAAAGTTGTATGAACTCATCCTATACCCAGATGACGCTGCAGCATGAAGGTATTTTTGTAAAATGAAAAGAGTGAATAATGTATAGGAGTGCTTTGTTAAGAATAAAGGGCTGCATGGTTGTTTAAAAAAAAGTGTAGATGGTAGTTAACTATCATCTTTTTATTCTTTCAGCTGTGGGCTACAAGGCATGACCCAGAGATGGTCCGCCCAACTCTGGAGAAGACACTTAATGTCCTCCAGCTAGATTATGTGGATCTTTACATCATTGAAATACCTATGGCTTTCAAGGTAAGTGCAGATGCCTAAAGGTTAGGTCTCTGCTTCCTTGGCAACCATTAGCCACAGCTGTGCCTGTGATGCTATAAAGCCAGTTTATTACTTATCACCAGAGAGTGTTAGGGCGTTCTGTTACTATAAATCAGATAGTACTGACCAACCCCAACAAATGCCTACAAAGATTATGTGTAACAGACTCAGTCCTGGAACCCTAGTTTCTTGATTCATAATCTAATGCACTTGCTAATATATCTGCCCTTTACAACTGTAATTTAAACCCTCTCCGTCAAACCAACATGTAGTCTCCTGACTGCCCTCTATATTTTAGCTAGCTAGCATTCAGACACACCCTTCTTCTTGTTCACACAGTCATGAAAATGTCCCTGCAGAACATAATGCAAGATAATATATACAACTGAAAACTTGCTCACCTCCCACTCCCTCCAAAAGGACATAGCTCAAAGAATAGTCAGGTTTTTGGAGCCAGATCCAAGGACAGATTATATATGTGAAAGCTATTCTTCTAGTTCCAATTCACTCCTTCTTTGAACTTTCTCAGTCTATGGGCTTGTTAATTTAACCACCCACAACACACCTGTATATGCCCTGCTAAAGAGCTGTCACTGCCTTAAAATTTCATTGAGGGCAGGAGAGATTGAAAAACAAAATTGGCCACTTGTCCACAGGGTAAATCAGATCCTGCTGCTAGTCAGGAAGAACAAAGACTCTGCCAGTACAGTGGCCAGAATTCCTTTATGTAGCCAACCTGGCTGCCCCTGTTTTGTCCTCTGGAAACACTTTCCTTCTCGGCTGTCTTCTGTGGTCACATCCAACATGGGCTTTGGGAAACATTGCCCTTTTGCATCCTACTTCATGTACATATAGGATTGGGGACTTCATGATGGCCTTGGTAATCATAGGCTTTCATAGTTAAGTTCAGATTTCATGGACAAAGAAATATCCCTTAAAATGTAATATACTTTCAGTAAATTCACATTCAGGTCCATGAATGAGTAGTTAAAACTAGAAATCTAATAGGGTCACATTTCCTATATCTAACTTGTGGCCTATGGTTTCTGTCTCTTAGTCAAGAACTTCTTTATTCTACTCATCTGCCCCATCTTCAGCTTACCGACCTCCATCTGACATGAAATAATATAAAACAGGCACAGCTAATGTGTTCCTTGCACCCAATCTGTATCTCATTGGATGGCGCACCTTTGTCCAGTAGGACATCTGTGGCCAGAGATCTTGTCTTCAGACACAATCAGAATTCTCCCAAAGTCCATTACTTCCCTCTAGGATTCCTACCTTCCTGCTTTGGCTGTCACTAACTTCTCTATCCCCTGAAGGCTCAGATCTAAACCTCTGTCATCTTGGATAACATCCAGAAATACAGAGTATGCATTTTAGAAAAATAACATCTTACCTCTCATTTTACGAGCCCAGTAGCAACAAACACATCTTTCTTCAAGACCTACCTGAAGACTGCAAAAATGACCAACAAATTATTTTTCTTTTTTTTTTTTTAAAGATTTTATTTATTTATTTGACAGAGAGAGATCACAAGTAGATGGAGAGGCAGGCAGAGAGAGAGAGAGGGAAGCAGGATCTCCGCCGAGCAGAGAACCCGATGCGGGACTCGATCCCAGGACCCTGAGATCACGACCCGAGCCGAAGGCAGCGGCCTAACCCACTGAGCCACCCAGGCGCCCATGACCAGCAAATTCTAACACCCAGTGGTTTTCTACTAAGTCCCCTAAAGCTCCAGTCTTAGTAGGCCCATTTGTCTGCATCTCAGGACAGAACAAAGCAACAATTTAACAGATTCTATGCTATTACAGAGCAGGGATTACCAGCAGCTGGAGATGGGATACTTCTCATGGTCCACAAGCCCATGTTGACCTAACCAATTTCCCATTTTTGGTCCACTACTTGCCATAGCCCAGCATCTTTGTATTAGTTACAACTTGTTATAATCGGCAGAAATCCAACTCAAATTGGTGTTTAGCTAAAAAAGGAGCTAAGAATTCCAAGGGGTATCTAATTCAGGCATAGCTGGATCCAGAAGTTCAAACTATGTATCCAGCCCTTCATCTGTTTTGGTTGGCTTCATTCTCAAAAATCCTTCTCTATATGATGGCAAAATGGCCATTGACATGCCAAGCCTACATTGTCAGCACAATGTGAGAATTCAGAGAAAGAGAGACCACACAGTAAACCTCATGGAGAAATACCGGCTAGCCTTCATTTGGTCGTGTACCTATTACTGACTAATCTTTGCTAAAGGCCAAATGAGTGACTGACTGACATCTATGACCAAGAATAAGAGCTGGGTCAGCCCACCCAAACAACATGGAAAGAGCTCCTCCAGAGGGGATAGAGTAGGTATGATAGAAAACAAAATAACAGATATCTACTGTAGTTAATTAGAGGCCACTTAACATAGTGGTACGGAGCAGGGGCTCCAGAGGCAGGCTGCCTAGTTTGAATCCCAGCTGTGTCATATACAAGCCAGATGACTTGGTCAGGTTATTACCTGATCACTTTCTACATCACCTAAACACCAGGCAGTAGAAAAAGTCTGTATGGGCTTTGGAGTCATGCAGAAGGGGGAATGAATTTCAGCTTTATTATTTACTAGCAACAGTCACTTTGATCTTTCTTTCTTTCTTCCTTTCTTTTTGTTCTTTCTGAACTTCAATTTCTTTATCAGTAAAATAGAGACAATAGCAACTACCTTGACAAGTGTGAGGAGTCATTAAATTATATATGTGACATTGCTGGCACAATGTCTAACATTTTATAGATAATAAATGAAAGATGAGGGACGCCTAGGTGGCTCAGTTGGTTAAGCGGCTGCCTTCGCCTGAGGTCATGATCCCAGCGTCCTGGGATCGAGTCCCGCATGGGGCTCCTTGCTCAGCAGGGAGCCTGCTTGTCTCTCTGCCTCTGCCTGCCACTCTGTCTGCCTGTGTTCTCTTTCCCTCTCTCTCTCTGACTAATAAATAGATAAAACCTTTAAAAAAAATAAATGAAAGATGATATTCTGAAATGTTCACATGGAAGGGAACGTTATTAATAAGATATCCCAATAACCTAATTTCACAGAAGAGAAAGTTGAGGCCCCAAACAAGGAAGTAACTCACTCAAGTTTAAAGTTCATTAGAATGGGACCAGATGGTGGGTTCCCTGATACCAACCCCATTCTTGTTCTCCTACATGACACTGCCTTCTGCCTTGTCTTTCCAAACCTAGCAATCCCAATACTCTGTGGACTATAGTGATTTTTTAAAATTTCAGGTTCTTGGGAGTTGTAACTTTAGCCCTCATCCTCACACAGCTAACTTCACTCATGTTCAAATGGTAGATTTCTAAGCTAAGTCTTTAAGATTTGGAAAGAGCCTATATCTAAAAGTGAGAAAATGAAATTTACTTCTCTGTGGCTGACCAATGATTTGTAAAATCTTTTTGGGAAAGGTAAACAGAGAATTTCCACTCCTATTCTTAGATGGGATCAAGGCTCAAGGATACAGAGAGACAATAAAACTTTTAACAGTAAGAAATTACACAGTATAATAACATTACTTCTCACATGAACCTGTAATTCCTATAATGGAGAAATCAATCTTTGTAGCCAAAATATCACATGCTTTTTGAATCTCATCGTATTTTTAACAAGAAACCTTTCTTGCTAAAATATTTTTGCACTTTAACATTTTTTAAATGTCAAGTTAACAAGCAGATACAATTTTAGAACAACGAAATAAAAAAATCACAATAGGACATTTTTTTTATTTTTATTATTTATTTTGACAGACAGAGATCACAAGCAGGCAGAGAGGCAGGCAGAGAGAGAGAGGTGGAAGCAGGCTCCCACAATAGGACATTTTTAAGGATCTTTTTAAAGATTTATTTGAGAGAGAGAGAGCACGAGTTGTGGAGGGGGAGCAGAGGGAAGAGGGGAGAGAATCTTAAGCAAACTCCATGTAGAGCTGGACAAGGGGCTCAATCCTAGGACCCTGTGATCATGACCTGAGCTGAAACCAAGAGTCTGACATTTGACCAACTCAGTCACACAGGTACCCCATGATAAGACATTTTTAAAAGAAAGAAGTTACTGCTGCGCAAGAATGAGAGTCAGTAGCATGGGTTTTTAGAGGGTTGGATTATTCTTCTAGCAATATCTTACAGTAAGGAGCAGGCATAAAGGACAAAGACAATGGGTTTATCAGGATGAATGGATTGGTAAAGTAGACACAGATGAAGGGAAGCATCATAGAAATATTTAACATGGGTGCAGTCTTCATAAGGACTTAATTAAAATCTGGAGAAGTAAAAATTATTTAACAGAGTTCCTAACAGAGGCAAAAAGAAAGCCATTTCAGAACAGAAGTAAAACTAGGAAATGCAAAAGGCAAGAAATATGGAGAAAGACTGGAATGAAAAATGTGGGGTCATAAGTGTTGAGAAGTTCAAAGAGCTTAGAAATCAGAGATAGAAAGGGTAATTAACATGAATGATTATGGGGCATTGAGGAGAAATGAGCCCTTTTCCTGTTCTCAGTGAGACAGAGGAATTGAGAAATTATTTTCACTAAAGAGTATAATGGAGAAAATGTTATCACCAGAGGGGAAGTTTCATTCAGGTGAGATGACAGAAGGGAAACTTTTTTAAAATTTTAAGAGTATAATTGATTTTGTCCAGTTGCTTGATTTTCAACAAAAAAAATTCCTATTATCAAGGTCTAGAGACTTCCATCCTGCCATTCAAATCTAAAAGACACTTTGTCCCCATATTATCTGATCTCTTTCAATACAGGTGGCTACTACCTTTTTCTTTAAACATTTTCAGTTCATGGTTCTATGATATCACCATCTCAGAATGCTTTGACAGACTCTTCCCTGTCAACCTCCAAATGTCATTATGCCAGTACTCTATTCTTAATATTGTCTTACTGGGCCACACCTTCTCTAAAGGTGATCAGTCAAATGGATTGAATACCACTTTATATGCTGAGGACTTCCAAATTTGTCTACAGTCAAGACTTCTTTCTCAGCCTCTCTCAGATTACTCTGTTTAATTGCCTCCTCAAATACCCAGTGAATGTCTAATTACCATTTCATTCTCAACATAACCAAAACAAAACTCTTGATGGCTAGCTTAAACTCAGGGAATGATCACCACCAGTCAACCAAGGAACCTAGAAATCTTCTTTTATTTCTCTCTATCCTGTTTCCAAGCCCATAAGAGAAGGATCCCATTTTTAGATAAGTGAAAAAGGAAAAATCTGAAAATCAATGGTCAGTCTTAGTTGGAAAAGTATTACCCAAAAAGTAGGTTTGATACTGAGATACTTTGTGAAGTCAAAAACAGATGCTAAACTCCTGGAGGGCCCAGAAAGGAAAAGAAGAGAATCATTGGGCAGATTAGTCAGAACTAAGAAGTAATGGGCTGAGTTTTCCCTTATATGTAGGGAGCATTCCACTCATTAGCTATACTTTTCTTAGCTGAAGAACTTCCTCTCACACTTCATGATGATCTTTGGTTTCTTATCAGAGTAAGAAATTTGCTGTTCTCAAATTTGGCAAGGGTTAGTGTTAGGTCAAAATACTGAGCATAAAAGTCTTAATTCTCAACTTCTACTCCTTGTTTATTAGTAATTTTATTATTAACTGTTAGAGTGGCTGGTGGTGAGTGTGGCAAAGAATTGCACGAAGAGTAGAGCAATAAACAGGACAGAGTTTATTCACTCTCCATGGGAGGAGAGGGACCAGACATTCAGAGAAATGTTGGCCCCCAAGTTTCTGTCAGCCTGGGCCTTTTAAGGGACTTCAAAGGATCTGAGAGGGTTATAGCTGTATCCATTGCCAGGAGTGGGGGTTGGGGGGGTTGGTGGTAAGGGGAAGGGGTTGACTCAGCCAGGTAGAGCAGGAGGCAACAGGTTTTTCAAGGGGCTCTGTCCAAGGCTTATCTGGGATGTGGGCTGTGATCAGGCTAGAGAATATATTTTGTAGTTGGTGTCCACTTTCCAAAAATGTAGGGCACCATGATCTAGAAAAACAGGGCAAAGTACTGACACCTGTGAGTTTTGTCTGTAAGTGTGGCTGGGGTCATTGTGGGAGCGGGGGAATTGAACAGATTCCTTTCATTATGAGAGAACGTCAAGGTTTAAGAACAATAATAATCTGTCAATAAATAAAGGAAAATGAATGCCTGGGTGAAATAATGAGACTAATGTGTCATATTTATTATATATAAATATAAAAATAATTAAAATTGAATTGCTTTCTCAGGGCCAGGCTATATGGTATAATGACAACTCAAATTCCATAATTTTAATTCCCAGATATAAATAAAATAAATTATACTCATTTTTTTTTGTAGCCTGGAGATGAACCCTATCCTAAAGATGAGAATGGCAAATGGTTATATCACAAGTCAAATCTGTGTGCCACTTGGGAGGTAAGTTTAAATGGGTCTCTTTTCTTGAAGACTACATTTTTAAACTGTGATTTGACTATTCCTGTTCAATAAAGGGAGAGATGCAGCCTTTACTCCTAATGGAAAGTAATAGTCAGAACAGGTATTTTTAACCATAAGCAAAGTTGTGTAAAATTCCCACTTCTCTGCACTGAAAAATTCTTGATTTTGTTTTGATGGAAAAGAAAAATGCCAAAGAAGAGAGAAGTGTAGAAAGAAAAAGAAAGTAGAGGAAGTAAGTTCTAATGTAACTATAAATAAAAAGTGTATAAATGGGATAAATTCACAAATTTTTGAAGTTTCTCAAATTGAATTTACAAAAATCAATAATATGTTTAAAAGAAACAAACTTTAAATGATTCATGAAAAACTGAAAAAAAAAACTTTGGTTCCAATTCTGAGCAAGCTCCTTCCCCAGGATCATCAGAGTAGGAAAACTAGGGAAGAGTAATGAGAAAACCTGCATGGATTCATGATTGGGGTGGAAGATACAGATATTTTGAACTGGTTTATTTATGAGGTAATATGACAGCTTTTACCTAGAATAGAAGGCAGCCCAATAAGCTGTAAGAGGATAACATAGGAGAGGACCTTAGAGTTCTTTTTGCTGTTTCTTCTCTTCTGCTATAGCTTGGAGCAAATATTGTCTGCTCCATCCATGCAGAAACTTAAGACTCATGTTCAGATGTCTTCAGGAATCAAATCAGAGTAGCACTGAAAACCTGCACTTGTGAGAGGCTGAGAAAAACCTAAGTTACTATCTGACCTCTTGTTTCCCCTCCTTCTCCCATTCCAAACTCCAGAGGCTGGGAAATTACACTCTAAAAAGTACCTCTTTCTAATGGACTTCCACCCTATAAATAATAGCTGAATTGTGGAATTGTTTTGAAGGGTGAGGAGGCATTGACTGCATTTTCTGGTGCCTGGGACTCTCCACCCAACAGACCATAAACTCATTCTTGACCTCAGTGTAGATGACTAGGTTTGGAGTGTGGTATTCCCTTCCAAGTGACAGACTGATAGCGTAGCCAGTATCCCCAGGAAATACCCCCAGGCTGTATTCACAGCCCCAAATTACAAGGCATTTATTTTACAAAGAAACTTCATATTTTAATTAGAGATCTGAACATAAACAGAACAGAGAACCAACAACTTTTAACTTTTTAAGCCAATTAATATATTCAAGGAGATAAGATATTAGCAATATGAAACAAGAACAAGAATACATCTTTTTAAAAAACAAGCAAAAATAATAATTAGAAAAATGTAAAACAATGCAATCAATGGGATAAAAATAGAATAGATACGGACAAAGAAAAAATTATCAGATTGAAGATCAGAATGAGGAACACTATCACCCAATATGAAGAAGGACAGGAAAATTTTTTAAATATGAAGGAAAAGCTAAGAGATGTGAAGGATAAAATTGGAATTTCTAGTATTCATATAATAGGAGTCTCAGGAAAAAAGGAAAGAAAAAAGAAAAAAAGGTAATATTTGGAGAAAAAAAAAAGAGAGAGAGAGATAAAGGGCATGGATTACCAAAGGAAAGAAAAAAAGAAAACCCTTACCTAGACACATTACAGTGAAATTTCAGAATATCAAACATACAGAGAAAATGTTAAAACTTCCTTAGTATAACAAACAAGCAAGTAAGGAAAAAAAATTGAAGAAACAAAAACAAATCAAGGAGAAAACAGGAAAAGAAGAGAAGAGAGAAAATGAATAGATGGGAAAAATAAAAAACAAAGAGCGAGATGGGAGATTTAAACTCATTTATATTAATAATCACAATATATGTAAATAGTCTAAACAACTCAGTTAAAAGGCAGAGGTTATCAGAATGGATAAAAAGCAAAAGCCCGCTACATAGATTAAAAAAAACCCATTCTAAATAAAAAGACACAGATAGGTTAGAAGTAAAATCTTGAGGAAAAAAGTAAAAGTATAAAAAAGATACACTATGCTGACAGTAATCAAAAGATAGTTGGAGTAACTATTTTAATATCAGCAAAGACTTCAGAGCAAAATGTATTACCAAGCTTGGATAAAGAAGTTTGTTTTATAATAATGAAGAGATTAATCCTAAATATCTATGTACTTAATAACAGAACTCCAAAATACATGACACTTAAATGAAGAGAACTAAAAAGAGAAAGAGAATAGTCTGCAATAATAGTCAAGGATTTTAAAAAGTAGACAAAATCTATAGAAGATATTTGAACATTATCAACTGCTTGATCTAATTGACATTTATAGACTACATCACCAAAATATAACAAAATGCTATTTTTCAAGTGCACATAGAACATTTAACAAAATTGTCTATGGTCTGAGATATGAAACAAATCTCAATACATTTAATAACATTCTTTATGCAAAGTAAATTGTCTGATAAAATTAGAATTACAGGGGTGCCTGGGTGGCTTAGTGGGTTAAAGCCTTTGCTCTGCCTTCGGCTCAGGTCATGATCTCAGGGTCCTGGGATCAAACCCCGCATCAGGCTGTCTGCTCAGCAGGGAGCCTGCTTCCTCCTCTCTCTCTGCCTGCTTCTCTGCCTACTTGTGATCTCTGTCTGTCAAATAAATAAATAAATTATTTAAAAAAAATTAGAATTACATGCTCTACCAACTAAGCTGGCCAGGTACCACTACGGAGAACAATTTTTAAAACTCTATGTCAAAAGATATATCATGTTCTTTTATAGAAAGACTGAATACATTAAGATGTTAATTTTCCCCAAACTGATTGAAAGATTCAATAGAATCACAGCCAAATTACCAAAAGAAATTAAAAAGTTGATTCTAAAATTTATAGGGAAGTGTAAATAGCATGAAGATAAAAGATTCAATTTACCAAGAAAATATACCAGTTTTTAAACACATATGTACTATATAAAATATCTTTAAAATATATAAAGCAAAAGTTGATAAACTGTAAGAAGACATTGATAAATGCTTCTAATATAGTGGGAAATTTCTTACATGTCCCTTTAAATTATTGGGAAGCCAAGAAAAGCTAGACCTAATTTTGTATAGTGTGTGTGTGTGTGTGTGTGTGTGTGTGTGTGTGTGTGTGTGTATGAGAGAGACAGAGCAAGAGGAGAGAGATTTGTATCTAATAAAAGGAGACTATACATTTTCACACACACCAGACATTTTTAAAAATGGATCAGGTACCATGCCATAAAGCAAATCTCAACAGATTTCAAGAAGTAAAATCATTCTTAATGGACTAGTATACATTGTGAAAATTCAAGGGAAAGATATGCTGTACAGTATTTCTGAAACTAATTCAAGTGTAGAATTCCTGCCTGTCTCTCCCACTTTTTTTTTCTTCACAGAATGTGTATTAACGTACCCAAGGACTTTGTTCCTTAAAAGAATTCATCGTCACCCTCATAAACATTCTCATTTGTTTTGAGGCTTTTTCCTTAACCCATTGACCTTTACTCAACAGGCTTTGGAAGCTTGCAAAGATGCTGGCTTGGTGAAATCTCTTGGAGTATCCAATTTTAACCGCAGGCAGCTGGAACTCATCTTGAACAAACCAGGACTCAAACATAAGCCAGTCAGCAACCAGGTATAGTTTGCTAGGAGGTGGGAGGTGAGAGGGGGAGTGAGGGGTGGGGGAAGATTCCAATATTTATTTACCAGGAGAACCCTGGACTAGGAGTCAGAAATCTTGTGGTCACTCTACATATATCTCATCATAAGACCCTGAGAACAAGTCTTTTTATTTCTCTCAATTTATGTCTCTTAAAAAAAGATTTGCAAGTTCAGATCCAGGCAAAAATAATCCAAAAATATTTTTGAGGAAAAGTAATGAGGAGAAACTAGATCTGCCAGATACTAAGATATGCAGAGTACTTAAAATTATGTAAGATTAGTGTAAGAACCAACAGATAACCAAATTAATAGAAAATAAGCAATACCTTAAAAACAGGCCCAAGTATAATAAAAACTTAATGTAGAAACAGTAACACAAACTAATGTCAATGGCAAAGAGATGAAATTTTCAGTAAATAGTTTGGAGGAAATGGCTAATTGTATAGAAACAAATACAGATCTTTGCCTCATGTCATACTCCTAGTATCTCTTCAATCAGGAGTTAAAGATGAAACAGGAAGTCACTTGTGAATACTACAAAATGATTTTAGTTTTCTAGAGCTATAGGTAGAAATGAAGCCATTGGAAAATTATAAAAGAAACTGACATATTGAATAGTACAAAAACAAACTCTAAAAATATTGGAAACAAAGAATAAAAAATGGATAATTATATTTTTAAATATAATAGAAAGGGAGATCATATCCTTATGAATTAAAGCTTAATAAAAATTAATGAAAAAAATTAAAAAAACACTAAAACTCAACAGAAAAGTGAGCAAAAGAACTGTGAATAGAAATTCGAGAAGACAAATTTCAAGACTAGTAAACATATAAAAAATGTTCAACTCCACTAGTAATTACAAGTATTATTTTGTACCGTATATCAAATTAGCAAAGCTTTTATTTTTTAATGTAATGTTCCATATAAGCAAGTGATAAAGTGCTGCTGGCATGTACAAATTTGTTTGTCCTTACTGGAAAGCTATTTGGCAATAAGTGTCAAGAGCCTTAAAAAATGTTCATAGTCTTATATTCCTAAGAATTTGCCCTTGTGAAAAAGAAAATCTGAAAGCCTTTAGGTGTGTTTGTCACAGCACTGTTTATAAAGGCCAAAAAAAAAAAAAAAAAGGAAAGGAAACAACACAAATATGAAAAATTAGGAGAATATTTAAATTATAAAAATCATATAATATAAAAATCTTAAAGATGTTCTCGAATAATTTTTGAGCAAAAGAGCAATGGCCATGATATTAAGGGGAAAAACCAGGATACAAAATGTAATTCAATATTGATGTGAATATATTATTTAAAAACATGCATAGAAAAAATATTGGAAAGAAATATATCAAAATACTAACTGTAGTTATCTCTGGTTGAGAATTACAAGTGAATTTTTTTTTCTTCTTTATGCTTTTCTGTATTTTCCAAGTCTTCTGTAGGGCGCATATGTTACTTTTATAATCAAAACAAAATACTGTTACCCACTAGTTAAATGGGGATAAAGATACTCTCTTCACCCTACTTCATAGAACACTAAGAAGCTACATTTAAAAAACATTCTTTGGGTAAATATTCACGTACTGGAGTTATGGTTGACTTGTTTTCTTGATTCATTGTTTTTAGCAACTCGAAACAGTCTTGAGTTCATAACAGAAAGAATAAATTATTACCTATCATGATAATTACCAGCTAAAAGACAGGTATTGCTGTGTTTAGAAGTATCATTTCCTATGACACTTAAGCTAACACTATACCATGTGCTCTAAAGAGCCGAGAGCAACAACCCTTGATTTCGTAACTGATCTCCATCTATCACTTTGTTCCTACTCTAACCCTCACTAGCACGTCTCCCTCCTGCACCCTACAAGAATAATATTTTGTTATAAAAGGTTAAAATGATACATGTTTCTTCTTACAAATATACTAAGAAAGATGGTGATTTTTGACCTCAGAATGAAAACTGGAATAGGAATTGACAGTGTGTCTCCTCGTGCTAAGGAAGAGGAAACTAAATTTCCCATTAGAATAAATCTGAAGTATAATTTGCAAATTTTTATATTTTTTCATAGACTTTATGAACAAGGGCCCATAGAATATGACCTTACTCTATACTCATTCTCAGAGCCTGAGCATTCCAAGCTTCCTTAGTACTATCCATGGTGTCTATATAAACAAATGTGTCTCCAGGCTCCATCCCTGGCTTAGTCTCTCTGAAAGCCTTCCTGGTGGACAATTTGTCATGCAGCATTCTCCCAGCCTAATTCAAAGTAGACTGTGGATCTACCTCAGGCCATTTAATCTCACACACCTAACTCTACTAACAAATGAAGGGAGGGAGGTGGGGAGAACAGTAAGATCTCCAAGTTCTTCAGTTTTTCCTAACCCTATTCATTATGCTGAAATCACAGATGTTCTGATAGGAATCAATAAATACTTTTTGAGTGACTTAATGAAATGGAAAACCCAACACCAACTTTTACAGAAAGACACAGGATGGGGTTAATGTCTTCCTTCACAGGTTCTGTCCAGCTTAACTTCACCATGTGAGATTTTGATATCTGAAGTTCTGTACTACCAAATAGTGTGGTAAAAGCCCCAGACCTGTCAAGACACTGACACGTGACATCAATTTTACATAGTATGCAAGAAAAAGTAAAGACTGCATCTCCATTGGCCCATCCACAAAGGATATCTTGCTATACCCTGTCTGTAGCAAAGAAGGAAGCAAGTGTGCTTAGATATGCTTCTCCTTGGAAATGAGCAAGTTCCAGGGCAATGACGACATCAAGGCACTGTGACAACAGAAACCATTACTACCCTCTACCTTAAACTGAACATCCCATGCCAGCATTCCAAACAAGGATTATTCACTGGCCTGAAATGACCACACCAAGCCGCAGTCCTGACAAAGCCCCTCCTGTAACAGTCCCCAGCATCAGTAATACTTCCTAAAGTGCTAACTTGGTCCTCTCTGTATCATAACACTTTCATTCAACAGTCATTGAGCACCTGCCCTAGGCCAGGCACTTTCCTAGGTTCTAGGCATGCATAAGTGACAAAAGACAGATAAAGCCCTTCTTCTTGGAACACTAGCTGTCTAGTGGGGAGCACACATTAATCAAACAATCACAAAAGTTATCAATAATTAGAAACTGAGATAAACACTCTGAGAAGAAGGAATATGGTTCTCTGTGAATTCATAAGCCCTTGGATCGTAGTTTATCCACTCCAACCCCCAGCATTTCCCTTACTGGTTGTCCCTTTAGTGATATGCTGTCAAATTTTTACCTGACAACTATCAATCCAAAGATTTATATATTTTTTAAAGTTATGTTGTTGAGTTTCTATGTTAGCTCAAAAGCTTTTGTTGAGCAGAAGTTTCTAGTATGTTGCCCAACACAACTCTCTGTGTAGTCCCAAGCTTCAGTTCACAGATTCAGTTCAGTCACAGATCCAAAATGTGCATACCTGTTTTACTTCTAACTGTAATAGCCTTATTACCCATAGCTTCTGCCACAAGCTGTATGCGGTCCTTTTTAAAAGGGTAGGTTATAAAACTGTTTGATGTGTATGTAAGCACACACATATATATATACACATATATGCATACATACTTCTACATATTTAATAGGCCAAAGACAAGCAACAGCACACCAATTTGATTAGAAAGGAGTCCTTGTGAGAAAATGAAATGTTGTGTTTGGAATGAGCAGGTGGCCATTAAGTTAAGGAACTCATACTTAGTTTCTAAGCAGTGGAATGATGCGATATACGTGTTTTGGAGAGACCAGTCTACCAATAATAGACAAGATTGGAATTGAAAAAGTAGGGAGCAATGTTGGAAGTCGGAGAGGGTAAAGGAAGGAAACACTAAGAAGTGTGATTCCTGCCTTATTTTAGTCTGTGTGTTACTTTGTAGAATTATTTAAGAAATGTTCCAAGGGGGAGAAATCCCACAAGTGTTTCTTAGGGTAAGGGAACAAGATTATGTCAGGGGGGAAAAAAAGTTAATCAAATTAGAGAACAGAAAGAGGAGACCCACCACAAAGAGGCCCAGTTTACTTTTGCCATTTCATAAGCAGCATCTCCTTGTGCCTTCTAGAAATAAAACTTGTCAAATACTCACTATTCCAGACAATGAAGATAATAAATATATGCTTCAATTATTTCAATTCAGCCTTGGTTGATTTTAATTTAAAAAGGAAAAAAAGAATAGGTCAAAAATTATCATGGTGGTTAAGAAGAAACTTTGAGAAGAACTTTCTGACACAGTATTTTTAGTGCAGGAATCTTGCCAGTAAGATACTAAAGATGAACATAGGCCTGCACAGGGTGGTGTAAAGAACTCTTGGCCAAAACGACAAAATTCATCTTTAGATTTCATTTTATACATACTTTACCCCTTGTGAAAATATTCTTAGACGCTTGAGAGCTACAGGGAGAGGGTTTCTGCAACATGTCACTTCTACTACCAAGACTGTAATCTGAACCTCTGAACCTTGAGACTGTTTTTTTTTTTTTTTTTTTTTTTTTTTTTGGTTACAGAAAATTGTATTTGCTGGAATGGTGACTGTAAATAATTAAGTCTGTTCCCTCAAAGTTTTAAACTATGATAAGTTTACAAAATTGAATTTGTTCCCCACTCACTTACTTTAGAATTATTCCACAGATGGTAACCTCACTAACCTCATTTTAATTAATCTCACCAACAAATAGTGTAAAATTCCTTGTTAGGAAAAGTATTTAGCAGTTGCCTCATTATCCATAATACTCATAAGTGGGTTTTATTGAAAAACTTTTTAAAAACTGTGTAAAACTGCGTTCACTACAAGATTTTAATTTTGTGTCCTGCTTTCCAATGCAACCGTGCAGGTCGAGTGCCACCCATATTTCACCCAGCCAAAACTCTTGAAATTTTGCCAACAACATGATATTGTCATTATTGCATACAGCCCTCTGGGTACCTCCAGGAATCCAAGCTGGTAAGCAATGCTGTATGTCTCTTCAGCAGTGTTTCCTTCAGTGTAGAGTATGAGACTAATGTGAATTACTTGATTGGCATAACTATATGGCTCTGTGATTTTAAGAAAGTAAGTTAATCTCTTCAAGCCATTCTCTGTATATACAAGTTGGAGCTAATAAAACCTTCCTCACAAATGTGGTATAAGAATTGATTATACTGTATGTATAAAATTACGTAACAGTGCCCGAAATATAGGAAATGTTCAGTGTTAGTTTAGGTATTATTATTTGACAAAGAGTCTCCATGACCATATCCTCAAAATTTAGGATTTTTTGATCTCTGGATTCAAAGGTAGCACTTCTGATGTGATATGTTCCACAGACTTAAGTAGAAATTTTTTACATGAAGATGACTCTAAGAGTTGTATGTAACTCTGTTTCTTCCACTTTGGTCTTCCTGCCTCCACTGTGCCTTCTTCCAAGTCAGTTCTCTCTCTGAGACCCATCAAAGAAATACTATTTACCCTCTGAAAGAGACAGCTCTATCAATTTGCCTCTCTTGATATTCTCATGCTAAAGGCAACTCTTCACTGAGTGCTTTGCTCCGGGAGAAATTGGTGACAGAGACCTGAAGTGTCCTGGTAGGGGACCAGGTGGATGGGGAGACAAAGAAGGAGGGTGATTGAGGATGATGTTCTCATTACTTAAGCTAAATATGATGCAGGTTTTGATTTTTTTTTTTTCAAGGGTGAATGTTTCCTCCCCACCTTTGCTAAAGGATGAACTTCTAAACACACTGGGAAAAAAGTACAATAAGACAGCAGCTCAAGTTGTTTTACGTTTCAACATCCAGAGAGGAGTGGTTGTTATTCCTAAAAGTTTTAACCCTGAAAGGATCAAAGAAAACTTTCAAGTAAGAGAACTGCTTCTGGAAATGTAGAAAGTGGAGTTGTTTGGTTTTTTTTGAGAACTTTCTGTTCAGATTAATAAGAAACTTGTATTGCCTTCATATTTTATTTTATACCTGCTCCCTAACCTACACTCTGTAGATATGAATTAACTTTAGCTGAATCTGAGACAGTTCCCAGCACTTTGGGGATTGCTTTACTGCTTGTACATTACCTAGCTCCCTTATGTCTTCTGTTTCCTTACCTATTGACTCTTGGCACTACCTACTCACTTCTCCACCAGCACAGCAGGAATGGAAGGTATAAAATTTGAAATTCACAATAGTAAACTTTCCACCTTCTTAATGTCCCTGGTAAAAGTTAGGGACAAATTTGGAAATTATTGAAAAGGATCGTTAGACTTCAAGAATGCTCATTGCCTTTATTTCCTCTATAAATAATCTGTATCAGCATCATAATTTACAGGTGAGAAGAAGCCACTAGACCAGGGAGTGATTAGTTTACTCTGCTAGTACTCAAGGTTAAACTGCTAGGTAAATACAGCCATAGAAAAGTACCATGCAAAATTAATTAATTACTCATCAGTTAATAATCTCAAAAAATAAGTTGTTTTTGTCTCAATTTATAAGTTTCATAATCTCGGTATTTAATAAGTTTACTAAATAAAATAAATAAGTAGTTTAATAAGTTTAATAATAATAAATTTAATAATCGCAATAAGTAAGTTGATAAAAATGAGACAAGATTTATCCCCTCAGATAGGAAAATAATCAGAATATTGAATGTAAATAAAAAGACACTTTCATATACTCCTGTTAAAAATATTAATTGGTATACGATTTGAAGTAGCAGGATGTCACTTTTCCAGATCTATCAAAATTCAAGCCCACATATCCATTTGACCCAACAATGTGATACTATATTTACACATTCATGCACACATATATAGATATTTACTACAGCATGGTTTATTACTTTTTTAAAAAAACTGGAAACAATCATTAGTAGAATGTAAAACAAATTATATTTGTACAATGAAATATTATACTGTAGCCTTTTTAAAATAATAGAGTGAAAATTTAAGTACTGCCATGGGAAGATATTCATGATATTAGACAATTTATCTTCAGAGTTTTTGCTACCACATGACAGAATGCAACTCAAACTTACCAAAGGGAGACATGATTTATTGGGCCACATAACTGGAAAGTCCATGGATAAATCAGGCATGACTGGGCAGGAGTATTCAAACGATTTATGAAAGGACTGAGTTCCCTTCCTGCCTCTACTCTACCTCCACCCAACCTTCTCTTTCTCCATATGGTAACACAACATGGCAACATGACAGCTCTAGGCTAATCTATAATTAATAATCAGTGAAGATGATCACAGGAAAAGGCTCCGATAACGATCTCTATCAATCCTTGATTGTCCTTTTGTGGGGCATGCACCACTCCCATATTAATCACCATATCCAGTGAGTAAGATACTTTGATTGGCCCCCTGGGCTACATCCCTAATCCTGTACTAGAAATGGATTCATGTGACAAACAGCCCTACTAGGTGATGGAAAAGAAGTTCATAAAAGGAAAAAGGGGATTCTGTTATTAGCAAAAAGAGGAAAGAATGATAAATAGTTATATCACTACTGACAGCATTTTAACATGTAAGAAAATACCTCTTACCAAAAGGGGTTGACACTGTTTTCAGCCATCTTAAAAGAATAAGATATCTAGATGGCTAATGTGTCAGTTCATCAAAAATTAAAACAAGTTTTGATGCACCAGAAACAAATGTTTTCATGGATTCAAAAGTTTATTATTCAGAAAATGAGAGTGGTTACTAGTGTTCTGTGTAATGGAAGATTAAAGCCTTTGGACTTTATGTTATTTAGTGAATCACAATTTTGTAGTAAAAGTACTATCATTCTCTTTAAAAATTTTATTGCAACTATTTCTGTTATAGCTGATATATTTCCATAACCCTAATGATAAGGAAATGGAGTTCAGAGGTTCACATACCACAAGAAAATATGAAAGAGATACAGATCTACAAGGAAAATGGCAGTGGAAATCACAGCCAATTTCCACTCTATAGGGTTTATACTTGCCCTGTAATCAGAAATTTTGTTGGGTAGTACAACCAAGAATTGACAAAATAGAAAATTATTCTCTTTTAGAACTGAGGTAAAGTAATATTTTAGAAGAATGGGAAATAACCACAGAACATAAAGGGAAAAGGGAAAATTAAGTATGTTTACAATAAAAGAAGAAAAAGTTATAGAAATAAAAATTATGTAATAAAAAGTTAAATCATAAATTAAAAACAAAAACTATATCAAATTAAAGGTAAGAATGAAGAAAATTAAAAATCAGGATATTTTTAACATTAAAACAACAAGAAATCAAATTTTACCACCCACCTTCTGCCTTGTTGCCATCATCCACTGACCCCCATTCCTTGAAGGTTTTATCTCTTGATTCACTATCCCTCTCTCTGAAACTACTCCCATCATATTCTTAGTGAATTCAACATACATATGGATAGTCCTTCCAATAACATGGCCTGATAGTTTTTTAACCTCCTCACCCACAATGATCTCATCCTATATGTTCCAGCTACTAGTTCCCATTGTTATTCCTTGGGAACTGCAGTTACTAATACCTAATAACTCCTTCATACCCCTCAAAAATACCCCTCTCTCTCCTACATTATCTCTCCACTGCATAACTCCTATCAACATACAAATATGCTGTGATCTCCAGTCTTGGAAGGTATATTCCAATCTAGACTCATGTTCCTCTACAGCTATTATCCAGTTCTTTCTTTCTGTTTACAGCAAACCCTTAAAAGAGAATTCTATTCTCACTACCTACAGTCTCTTTCCCCCATTCTCCCTTAAACCCATTGAAACCAAGCTTTCTTGTCAAGTTCACCAATGACTTCCACCTTGCTAGATCCTATAATCACTTCTCTGTCCTTGTCTTAGTAGATCTTTCAACAGCATTTAATACAGTTAACACTTTCTCTTTCTTGAGTCTCTACTATAAGAGAAGCAGATTGGGGGGTGGGGGAAGCAGAATATCAGGAAATAAGTTTGTGAGATCCTGAATAAGTGAATAACTTTGGATAATTTCAGTCATAAAAAAATGAAAATCAATCCACATAAAATAAAGAAAAACATTGCATAAAAAGAATGGAGGGAGAATTTGGAAGTTTACCTTAAAATGAAAACTGAAGGGGTGCCTGGGTGGCTCTGTCAGTTGAGCATCCAATTCTTGATCTCAGCTCATGAGTTCTTGATCTCAGGGTCATGAGTTCAAGCCCTGTGTTGGGCTCTATGTTGGGTGTGGAGCCTACTTAAAAGAAATTAAAACAGAAAATTATGAAATAATTTTAATTATTTCATATTCAACAAAATTAAGTTACAATTGTATATGTGTACTAAATCTTAGAAGAAATTTTAAAATATGCTTGACAAAATTATGTGATAACAGAATGTGGCATTCTCTACTTCACAAAGGTTTTTGTAAGTGATCATAAAAAGAATAATTATGGTAAAGTTTCACAGGGCTTCATCTGAAGATTATACATAGTTTGATTTTTTTTCCAAATAACACTCTTTTGATGTATCAACTAGACTTTAACTGCATCAGATTCCTACTTGAAAAACATTTTGCCTGTAATTAAGGCAAACTAAGATCACTTTCATTGATTTCATGGAATCCTGCATCTTTGCCAAGATTTGCAACTTCATTTTATGTTATATATTCACTGAAGACAGAAAATGACTCAACAACACTCAAAAAGTGGACCTAATGTTAAGCAAAAAGAAAGTTTGAGTAAGGATTTATTTTATAAGTCATTGGTCATTCATGACTGTTTTTATGTAATGCAGACTTTTGATTCATGACACAATCTCATAAACTCAATACTTAGATAATAATCAAACAAAAGCATTCCCTGAAAAGAACACTTGGAAGCAATCCATGGGGGTATGATTAGGTAAATCATGTTACATCTATACTATGAATGCAGTGGTTAAATTAAAGTTAGTCTACCTATTTTGATAGAAAAGATCACCAAGACATATTACGTGAATGAAAGTAAGTTGCAGAATAATAAAGATATGATACAATTATTGTATTTTGCTCTTAGTGTGTTGGACGTTTAGAAGGAATGTTTGGGAAGAAGAAAAATACTGGAGCGGTGGGTAACATGAGGACCTTTCATTTCTTATTCCATGCATGTCTATATACTTCTGTAGTGTTTTAATTCTCACAAAAAAGCATATATTTATGTATCACTTATATAATTAAAATTTATAATTATAAATTATTGAAATAAAATTTAAGGGATAGCAAATTAAAACAATGAAGTAAGAGAAGATCATTATAAATAAACCAAATGTTAAAAATGTAAATAAGCTAAAATAAAATATTAAAATGTTAATAAAGGACAATTATAAAATCAGAGTATAAAATGTACAAGCTAAGAAAAAATAAAACAGTGAAAATGCAATAGATTTAAAAGATAGAAAAGATATATTAAAAATAAGGAGAGAAAAGATTAAGAGGATAAAACAAAGCAAATTAAAAGTTAAAATATGCATAAGCAAACTTAGAGACTAGGGAATGTTTTTAAAAACAAGTGCACAAAGGCCATAGTCCAAAGTCAAAAGTTTAGCATCTTATCCAGCAACAATAAACAATTCCTCACTCTGGGATTTGTAGATGTCCTGAACATAGGTTGTTATAGGTTATTTGGAATGTCCTGCAAGATGGCCCCAGCAGGAGTATCTCAAAGACAAAGAGCAGAACAGAATCCTGACTCTGCATGGGGATATGGCTCCCCAGCACCAGCCTAACTTCTCTCACATTTGCAGATATTCATAATTTTATTTTTATTTTTTTACTTATTTATTTTTAAATGTATTTATTTATATTCAATTAACCAACATATAGTACATAATTTACATTCATAAATTTTTGACATGAAAATCTTTTATGTGTATGTCACTAATTACAGAGCTTCAACATAAATGAAGAATTAAAACAAAATACCTGACAACTGAAAGAAAAAAACTAACAATTATTTTTTGTATCAATTTTTTATTTACATTCTAATTGGTTAACATACAGTATAATATTGGTTTCAGGAGTAGAATTTAGGGACTCATCACTCATATAACACCCAGTGTTTCTACAAAAAGTGCCCTCCTTAATGCCCATCACCCATTTAGCCGATCCCCACCCTCCTCCCGTCCAGCAACTTTGTTCTCTATGGTTAAAAGTCTCTTGGGCGCCTGGGTGGCTCAGTGGGTTGAGCCACTGCCTTTGGCTCAGGTCATGATCCCAGGGTCCTGGGATCGAGTCCCGCATCGGGCTCTCTGCTCAGCAGGGAGCCTGCTTCCCTCTCTCTCTCTCTGCCTGCCTCTCTGTCTACTGTGATCTCTCTCTGTCAAATAAATAAATAAAATCTTTAAAAAAAATTTCAGTTGTTCTGAATTTAAAAAAAAAAAAAAAAAAAAAGTCTCTTATGGTTTAGTTCCCTCTCTCTTTTTCTTTTCCATCCCCTATACTCATCTATTTTGTTTCTTAAATTCCACATATGAGTAAAATCATTTGGTATTTGTCTTTCTCTAACATTTTGCTTTGCATAATATTCTCTAGCTCCATACATGTTATTGCAAATGGAGAGATTTCACCGTTAATTATGGCTGAGTAATATTCCATTGTATATATGTATCACATCTTCTTTTTCCATTCGTCAGTTGGTGGACATATGTGCTCCTTCCATAATTTGGCTATTGTTGATAATCCTGCTATAAACATCTGTGTGCATGTATCCCTTCAAATCACTATTTTTGTATCCTTTAGGTAAATATCTAAGAGTGTAATTGCTGGATCATAGGGTAATTCTATTTTTAACTTTTTGAGGAAACTCCATACTGTTTTCCATGGCTGTGTTGAGTGGCTGTACTACCAGCTTGCACTCCCACAAAGTGTTAAGAAGGTTTCCCTTTCTCCATATTCTTGCCAACACCTGTTGTTTCCTGTGTTGTTAATTTTAGTCATTCTGACAGATATGAAGTGGAATCTCATCATGGTTTTTATTTGTATTTCCCTGATGATAGAATGATGTTGGGCATCTTTTCATGTGTCTGTTGGCCATCTGTATGTCTTCTTTGGAAAAATGTCATTCATGTCTTCTGCCCGTTTTTTAACTGGATTATTTGTTTTTTAGGTGTCAAGGCCTTTATATATTTTGAATACTAACCCTCTATCATATATGTCATTTGCAAATATCTTCCTCCATTTCATAGTCTGCCTTTTAGTTTTATTGATTGTTTCCTTCAATGTGCAGAAGCTTTTTATCCTGATAAAGTCTAATAGTTCATTTTTCCTTTTGTTTCCCTTACCTCTGGCAACATGTTTCATAAGAAGTTGCTATGGCCAATGTCAGAAAAGTTACTGCCTGTGTTCTAAGATTTTGATGGTTTCCTGTCTCACACTTAGGTCTTTCATCCATTTTGAATTTGTTTTGTGTATGGTGTAAGAAAGTTGTCCAACAAGACACCATTGGTTAAAGAGATGCTCTTTTTCCATTGGATATTCCTTCCTGCTTTGTTGAAGATTAGTTGACCATATAGTTGTGGGTTCATTTCTGTTTTCTCTATTCTGTTTCATTGATTTATGCATCTATTTTTATGCCAGTACCATACTGTCTTGATTACTACAGCCTTATTATATAATTTGAAGTCCCGAATTATGATGTTCCTAGCTTTGTTTTTCTTTTTCAAGACTGCTTTGGCTATTTGGGGTCTTTTTTTTTTTTTTTTTTAAATATGGGGTCTTTTGTGGTTCCGTACAAATTTAAGTATTTTTTGTTCCAGCTCTGTGAAAAATTGTATATTAATAGGGATTGCATTGAATGTATCAATTGCTTTGGGTGGATTTAACATTTTAATAATATTACTTTTTCAGGGACGCCTGGGTGGCTCAGTTGGTTAAGCAGCTGCCTTCGGCTCAGGTCGTGATCCCGGCGTCCTGGGATCGAGTCCCACATCGGGCTCCTTGCTCGGTGGGGAGCCTGCTTCTCCCTCTGCCTCTTCCTGCCATTCTGTCTGCCTGTGCTCGCTCTCTCTCCCTCTCTCTCTCTGATAAATAAATTAAAAAATCTTTAGAAAAATAATAATAATATTACTTTTTCTGATTCATGAACATGGAATGTTCTTCCATTTCTTTGTGTCATCTTCAACTTCTTTCCTAAGTGTTCTCTAGTTTTCAGAATACAGTTCTTTTCCTTGTTTGGTTAGGTTTATTCCTAGGTATGGTTTTTAAGATTTTATTTATTTATTTGACAGACAGAAATCACAAGTAGGCAGAGAGTCAGGCAGAGAGAGAGGGAGAAGCAGGCTCCCCGCTGAGCAGAGAGCCCGACGCGGGGCTCGATCCCAGGACCCTGAGATCATGACCTGAGCTGAAGGCAGAGGCTTTAACCCACTGAGCCACCCAGGCGCCCCCTAGGTATGGTTTTTGATGCAATTGTAAATGGGATTGATTCCTTGATTTCTCTTTCTGCTGCTTCATTATTGGTGTATAATACTGCAATAGATTTCTGGGGTGCTTGGATGGCTCAGTCGTTAAACGGCCAACTCTTGGTTCTGGCTCAGGTTGCGATCTCAGGGTTCTGAGATCGAGCCCTGCATTGGGCTCCTCACTTAGCGCAGTCTGCTTATCCCTCTCCCTCTGCTCTTTCCCCACTAACACACTCTCTCTTTTAAACAAAATCTTAAAAATAAAATAAAGTAAAAATAAAAAAGAAACCTAACAGATTTCTGAACATTGATTTTGTAGCCTGCAACTGCTGAATTCGTGTACCAGTTCTAGCAATATTTTGGTGGAGTCTTTTGGGTTTTCTACACAGAGTATCATGTTGTCTGTGAATAGTGAAAGTTTGATATCTTCCTTGACAGTTTGGGAGTCTTTTTATTCCTTTTTGTTATCTGATTGCTGAGGCTAGGACTTCCACTAATATGTTAAATAACAGTGATGAGAGTGGACATCCCTCTCTTTGTTCCTAACTGTAGAGGAAAAGCTCTCAGTTTTTCCCCATTGAGGATGATATTAACTGTGGGGTTTTTGTATATAGCCTTTATGATATTGAGTTGTATGTTCCCTCTACCCCTACTTTGTTGAGGGGTTTTTTTTTAGGAATGGATGCTATACTTTGTCAAATGCTTTTTCTGCTTCTACCAAAAGGATCATATGGTTCTTATCCTTTCTTTTATTAATATGGTATATCATGCTAATTGATTTGTGAATATGTGAACTACCCTTGCAGCCCAGGGATAAATCCCACTTGGTCATGGTGAATAATTCTTTTAAACATGGTCATTAAAAAAAGGGAAAAAAAGGATGCTTATAAATTTTTGAAGGGCTTCTGCTGCTGGCCCCATTCCCTGATCCCAGGCTTGACCCACTCTCTACCTTCAATAATGTCTTTTAATTCTGTTATTTCAGATCTTTGACTTTTCTCTCACTGAAAAAGAAATGAAGGACATTGAGGCCTTGAATAAAAATGTCCGCTTCGTGGAGATGCTCATGTGAGTATGGAGGGACCATTCATCAAGTACTGCCCAGTGGTATTGGATTATCCTAGGTCCATAGAAATCACAAGGATAAAGGCCAGTTCTGAATATCAAACAGGTCCAGGTAAATTACATTTATTCTAGGAAGTTCCTACAAGGTACAAGTTTTATTTAAAAGATTTCTGACATTTATGACATCCCATGACTTATGTTAGGGAATGATAGGCTAAATCACTTGATGAGAATTAAGTCATAGTATATATATATATTAATACAAATATAGAACCTATCTAATTTTTCCTAAAAATCAAAGTGATGCACAATTTAGAGCAAAATTATCAACAAAAAAGAAAGAGACATGGGAGCATAGTAGAAAGAGTACCACATTAGAAGCTAAGAACTAAGGTTTTAGGCAAATGCTTGCCTCTAAGATGTGTAGCTTCTAACCCCACCTATTAGCTGACTTCCCACAAGCAAAACTCCTTACACTCCCTCAAAATGTTGCTAAATTCAGCTAATCAACTGAAGTAGCCCTTTATTCTCTAAATAGTACAGGGCCTTTAAAATAACAAAAGACTACAGTTCATACAGATATGGTTATCATATACATATGTATGTATACACATTTTTTTCTTTTTTTCATTACTATTTCCAGTTCTTGAAATCACCTGGATAGTAATCTGTTTGTAATCTCTCTAAGTGAGCATTTGGAAAATGCTCATTAGGGTGGTTCATACAGTTTGAACACGAATCTTACTGGTCCCCTATTTCTCATGAGTCAGAAAGTACACTGACTATGCTAATATCAAATTTCTGAACCAATTTCTGAATTAATACAACAGTCTCCTAATGTGAATTTTCCAAGGAAAAACATTATTTGGCATCAAAAGGTACCACCTAGCCTTGGGAACAAAAAGGTAAACACAAACACAGACCAAACCAAATACTTATTAGTTAATACTTATTAGTTAATTAATAGCTCTTGAAGATGAACTATTTCTATTGAATAAATATCATTAAATTAAGAGATAGTAAGAGACAGCCAATCCACCAATATACTGTTGTTGTTGTTGTTGTTTTTAAGATTTTATATTTTTATTTGACAGAGAGAGAGATCACAAGTAGGCAGAGAGGCAGGCGGCGGGGTTGGGGGGTAGGGGGAAGCAGGCTCCCTCAGCAGAGAGCCCCATGCAGGGCTCGATCCCGGGACCCTGGGATCATGACCTGAGCCAAAGGCAGAGGCTTAACCCACTGAGCCACCCAGGCGCCCTTTGTGTGTTGTTTTTTTACAGTTAGTTGGTGACATTATTTAGTTTGACATTTGAAATATTTAATATCTAATTCCCACAACACTGGGAAAATATCTCATGAAATAACTAGAAAGATCAGCAAGGAGAAACAAACAGTGGCCACACTGATCAAAAAACTGAACCATTTAGGGATGCTAGGCCCTGATTCTTCTCTGTGTTTCATCCAGTTGATCATTGACATTGAAGAGCTTTTATTTATTTTATATTTTAACTTAAATTCATAGTACTTGCAGAGAACTGAATCTTAGACATGGTCCATGGCACAATACACGCCAGTCCTTTTTTATTGACTGTTCCATCACTGTTGTTTAAGGGATAGGTTCATTATCATCATCACTACTATGGAAACTTACTTCACTGATCACCTTTCCAGGTCTCAAATTCTCAGTTCTCAGGAGGTCCAGTGAGAAGGGCAGGTAATAACTCTGAGAAGAGAGTGGTACTGATGGGTCATAGAAATTTAAAGAGAAATGTTTATGTGGATATTTAACATGGAAGGCAGCCTATGTCCAAACAGCAGAGGAGAAGAAGGAATTGAGAAGATGCATGAAAAACTACAGGCAGGCATTACTCATCTCCTGTGCTCTTTTTCTGAGCAAAGTATTGAGGGGGAGGCAGCCAGCCTTCCCACACACACACACACACACACACACACACTTATCCAGGGCTTCAGTAAAAGATGCTGGCTTGGGAAAACAGAGGAACAGAGAAGAAATGAATAAGGGAGAGAGGGAAGGGTCAGTGAAATTGTCAAAGGAGGCTAGTAACACATACAACTGTGCAATGCTTGCAGTGAACTTTTTCCCTTTGGGGAATTGTTTTGACAGGTGGTGTGATCATCCTGAATACCCATTTCATGATGAATACTGACTTCAGAATGCTCCTGAACTGATTTTTCCCTCCCATGAATGTCAGAACCTTGGGCCGGGTAGTTCCCCCAGATGAAGAAATTTTAAAAGTTTTCCTATCTTTAGATAAAGTGGTGATGTTAACATGCTTAAGTTTTGTGCAGAGTAAATGACTTTGGCTTAGGTATATGAAGAAAAAAATATGTTTAAATCTGTTGAAATAATTATTTGGAAATTATAAGCCAATATTTTATTGGATCAAGGTCTTCTGGTTTCCAGACCAAAAAAAATTGGGCTTTAGAAAAGATAGCAGAGGCAATATACGAAGACACATAACTCATGAATGTGAGTCCTGCCATTGGCAGTCTGAGGTCCTTACTTTAGCAGTTAACAGTGCAACAAAGAGAGTAGTAAGCTGGTGCATGCAAGTGCTGTCAGTGACTTTGATGATTTGGACCATTGACTGTAACACAGACACAGCCAAGATAAGATCCTCACAAGCATTATTAACAAGGAAGTGATTTGCTACACCTTGTGTAAGGAGAAAGAGCTAAGCATAGAAAAGTCTTAAAATAGAGCTAATTAAACACCACAGTGGTCAGCAAAGACATAATCATTTCGTTGTTATTTGGTTCCATCCAGTGTGTGTTCATTTAGCTTTTGAGAGATGGCTAATTGCTGGTTCTCTCTTGAATGCTTTCAAGGGCCTGAGAATGAACATAACTGGCGAGCCATTTTTCCACTATCACTCTTGCCCTGCTCATCATATATCCACCATTATGTGAAGTAGCTTGAGACAATCAACAGACATAAATAAAGCCCTGAATCATAAAAAAAAAAAAAAATAAAAATTCAAAGATGACTATTTTTTAAAATAGCCTCCACGCTGGGAAACCAGAACTCACGACCCTGAGATCAAGACCTGAACGGAAATCAAGAGTCAGATGTTTGACTGAGCCACCCAGGTGCCCCCAAAGATGACTATTTTAAAAGAAGGCATTTAAAAAGGAAGCCAGTCCCTGGCTGGCTCACTCGGTGGAACATATGACTCTTAATCTTGGGGTTGTGAGTTCAAGCCCTGTATTGGGTACAGAGATTACTTAAAAATAAAATCTTTTAAAAAATAAAGTTAAAATTAAAAAGAGACTTCATAAAATTATTATACTTAGGACTTTGAAAGTGTCATTAGGATAACTATGTGAATTTCAAGAAAGTAGTAAGTTTAAAGAACACTGGTAATTTTACTGTACATAAATTTTTAATTTTTTAAAAAGAAGGTTATTAGAATTCTGCAATAGAGATATACCAATTGTCAATTCAACTAGAGCAATGTGGTTTTTTTTTTCATTCATATTAAGTCGCTCTCATAGGGCAAGAGAGTTCTTCAAAAATTTTGTCTTTCCAAGACCAGTTGTTTCCAGATAACCTTCAGTGACCTGAAAGCATACGCTTCTGAGAAATCAGCACTTTAATTCAATCTCTACTCACTGTATCCACTGCTTCTAATGTAATGCTGTTCTCTGGAAAATATTTTGTTTACCAGAAATAATAAAGTGTGATGATTTGTTGAACCACGTGAATCTCCATTTAGTTGCTAAAGGCAGGGAAAGAGAAGAATCATCTGAATTCAATTCAGCTAAAAGAGTTTTGATTAAGTTCTTACTGTACACTTAGCATTAGGAAAAGGGAAGAAAAAGGGGTATCATAGTATAAGAACAGAAACTTAAGCCCTATTCCCTGTTATCAAACTTCTTCAAAATATTTCAGGAGGCCAGTGTGGAGGAGCAACCATACCTTTCAAACCATTTTTAAAAGACAGGCACTTGGAAAGATTCCTACCACTTCTCAAGGGAAAAAATAGTTGTAAAGATTAGAGGAGGGGAACCCTATCTTAGTTATACAGAGATGAAGGGGGAATAGTTGAAGACAGAAAACAGGAAGTCCAGGAAAGTAACGGTCTGATACGAGCTTCTGCATGTCACCTCTCCCTCTGCTCTCACCCTTCACAAGGTTCCCATCTATTTTGGGATGAATTATGTCCTCCCCACCAAATTCAAACCTTAAAGTCCTAGCTCTTAGCACCTCAGAATGTAACCTTATTTGGAAATAGGGTCACTGCAGGTCATGGCATATGTAATTCATTAAGACGAGCTCATAATGGAGTAGGGTGGCTCCCAATCCAGTAAGACGGGTGCCTTATAAAAAGAGAAAATTTGGACACAAACAACCTACAGGGAAAACACCATGTACAGATCAAGACAAAGATAAAATGATGCTTTAAATTATTTGTTCCTTATATAAAACAACAAATATAAAGTAACTCATCGATAATAATGCAATAATAGTAGAAGAATGTAATACCCTACTTACATCAATGGATAGATCATCTAAGCAGACAATCAACAAGGAAATAATGGCTTTGAATGACACACTGGACCAAAGAGGCTTAGCAGATATTTGGAACACTCTCTCCTAAAGCAGCAAAATACACATTCTTTTCAAGTGCACATGGGATATTCTCCAGAATAGGTCATGTACTAGGTCACAAATCAGGTCTTAACAAGTACAAAAAGATTAAGATCATACCTTGCATCTTTTCTGACCACAGCACTATGAAACTTGAAATCAACCACAGGAAAAATTTTGGAAAGACCACAAATACATGGAGGTTAAAGAACATCCTGCTAAAGAATGAATGAGTCAATTAGGAAATTAAAGAAGGAGTTTTTTTAAAAAATACATGGAAACAAATGAAAACAGGAACATGATAGTCCAAAACCTTTGGGAAGCAGCAAAAGCAGTCCTAAGAGGGAAGTATATGGCAGTACAGGCCTACTTCAAGAAGGAAGAGAAACCTCATATAAACAACCAAACTTTACACCTCAAGGAGCTAGAAAAAGATCAGCAAACTAAGCCTAAAGCCAGCAGAAGGGAAATAATAAAGATTCAAGCAGAAAAAAAAAATATAAAAACAAACAAAAATCATAGAAGAGATCAATGAAACCAAGAGCTGATTATTTGAAAAAAAATTAGTAAAATTTGTAAACTCCTAGCTAGACTAATCAATAAGAAAAGAGAAAGTACCCAAATAAACAAAATCACAAATGAGAGAGGAGAAATAACAACCAACACCACAGAGGTACAAATAATTATAAGAAAGTATCAAGAAAACTGGGTATCTGGGTGACTCAGTCAGCTAAGTGTCTGCCTTAGGTCAGGTCATGATCCCAGGGCCCTGGGATCAAGGTCCACCCACATCAAGCTCTCGGCTCACTGGGGAACATGCTTCTCCCTCTCCCTCGCTCTCTGTCTGCCTCTCTGCCTGCTTGCATGCTCTGTCTCTCTAATAAATAAAATCTTTTTAAAAAAGAAAGAAAGAAAGAAAGAAAGAAAGAAAGAAAGAAAGAAAGAAAAAAAATGTTATGGAAATTTCCTGCCAACAAATTAGATAACCTGGAAGAAATGGATAAATTCCTAGAAACATACAAACTTCCAAAACTGAAACAGGAAGAAATAGAAAACTTGAACAGACTGATAGCCAGCAAAGAAATTGAATCAGTAATCAAAAATCTCCCAAAAAACCAAAGTTCAGAACCAGATGGCTTCACAGGGGAATTAGACCAAACATTTAAAGAAGAGTTGATACCTATCCTTCTCAAACCATTTCAAAAAATAGAAATGGAAGGAAAACTTCCAAATTCATTCTATGAGGCCAGCCTTATTCCCATTCCAAAACCAGACAAAGACTCCACTAAAAAAGAGAACTATAGGGGCATCTGTGTGGCTCAGTTGGTTAAGCGACCGCCTTCGGCCCAGGTCAAGCAGGGTCCTGGGATCAAGTCCCTGTTCAATGGGGAGCTTGCTTCTCCCTCTCCCTCTGCCTACTGCTCTGCCTACTTGTGTGCTCGCTCTCTCTCTCTCTCTCTCTCTGTCAAATAAATAAGTAATATCTTAAAGAAAAAAAAAGGAGAGAGAGAGAGAGAACTACAGGCATTATCACTGATGAACAAGGCTGCAAAAATTCTCAAGAAAATACTAGCAAATTAAATCCAGCAGTACATTAAAACAATCATCCACTATTGAGTGGAATTTATTCCTGTGTTGCAAATACAGTTGAATATTCACAAATCAATCAACACGATATACCACATTAATAAAAGGAAGCATATGAACCATATAATCCTCTTAATTGCAGAAAAAGCATTTGATGAAAGGTACAACATCCATTCTGAATAAAAACCCTCAACAAGTAGGGAGAGAGGGAACGTACCTCAATATCATAAAGGCCATATTTATTGCAGCATTATCAACAATAGCCAGCCTCCTCCCCCCAAAAAAACCAATAACCAAATTATGGAGAGCCCAAATATCCATCCACTGATGAATAGCAAAATAAGATGTGGCATATATATACACTATATATATATAGATATAGATATATATATATGCACACACACAATATACACATATATACAACATACATATATATACAATATACATATACATATAGTATATATATATATATACACAATATATAATATACATATATATACAATATACATTTGTATACAATGGAATATTTCTCAACCATAAAAAAAATGAAATCTTGCCATTTGCAACAACATAGATTGAGCTAGAAAGTATTCAAAGTGAAATAAGTCAGTCGGAGAAAGCAAATACTATATGATTACATTCACATGTGGAATTTAATAAACAAAACAAATGAACATGGCAGGGTGGTGGGAAGAGAGGCAAACCAGGAAACACTCTTAACTATAGAGAACAGAGTTAATGGAGGTAAGGTGCTGGGGGGATGGGTTAAATGGGTGATCAGTATTAAGGAAGGCATTTGTGATAAGCACTGGGTGTTGTATGTAAGTGATGAATCACCGAATCCTATACCCGAAACTAATATTACACTGTATGTTAACTAGCTGGAATTTAAATAAAAACTTGAAATTAAAAAAAAAAAAAAAGGAAGCCATACAGATAGTCTAGGGACAGGTGAAAAGATACTCAGCATCACTTACCATCAGGGAAATACAAATCAAAAATACAATGAGATATCACCTCACAACTATCAGAATGGCTAAACTCAAAAACTTAACAATAGGTGTTGGGAAGGATGTAGGAAAAAAGGAACACCTATGCACTGTTAGTAGGAATGCAAATTGGTACAGCCCTGTGGAAAACAGTACGGAGTTTCCTCAGAAAGTTAAAAATAGAACCACCCTGCAATCCAGCAATCACACTACTGGGTAATTCCCCAAGAACACAAAAACACTAATTCAAAGGGATACATACACCCCTATGTTTATAGCAGCATTATTTACAGTAGCCAAGATATAGAAGCAGTTGTAGTACCATCAATTAATGAACAAATAGAGATGTGGTATACATATACAATGGACTATTATTCAGCCATGACAAAGAATGAAAACTTGCCATTTGCAAAAACATAGATGGAGCTAGAGAGTATTATGCTAAGTGAAATTAGTCAGTCAGAGAAAGACAAATACCATGTGATTTCACTTATGTGGAATTTAAGAAACAAAACAAATGAGCAAAGGGAAAGAGAGAGAGAGACAAAGCAAGAAACAGTCTCTCACTTATAGAGAACAACCCGATGGTTACCAGAGGGGAGGTGGGTGGGAAGATGGGCGAATTAGGTAATGGGAATGAAGGAGGGCACTTGTGATGAGCACCCAGTGTTGCATGGAAGTGTTGAATCACTATACTGTATGCCTGAAACTAAGATAACACTATGTTAACTAACTGGGATTTAAATAAAACTTCAAAAAAATAAATAAAAAATAATTATTTGTTCCTCAAGTGTTGGTGGAATTTACCTGAGAATTTCAG